CAGTCCGCTGTGACTAATTTGGTTGCGAACAAGCTCGCCCCGAGACTTATTGGACCATCACAGTAACGAATGTATTAGGGGATGCTTACACGCTCCTACTTCCTACCGCACTACGCCTCCATCCTACCTTCTACGTCGGACGACTCCGACGTTATCACCCACCCGCCATCCCTAGCGCCTATAGTAACCCCGCACCTCCGTCTCCCACCGATCATGAAGCTCCCGCTTAAGATGCGGAGGCTCCCCCAGCTCCCGGCGCAACTCCGCCATCTCGCGTTCCAGACGGCTCAGCCGCTCCACCGCGCGCTGCCGGCTCCGAGCGGTTCCAGCGTGATGGTCCAGCACCCCTCGTTGATAGTGCTGGCCACGTCCGTCATATCGTGGAGGCGATCTTGGGGCACGACAATCACCGTGCCACTCCCAACCGTACGCGTACGGGTCGTGGGTCTCACACCCGCGCTCGCGCCGTTCCCATTCCTCCGCACCGCCAGTACCTCGTGCGTTGGCTTGGCCCAATGCCCGATAGCTGGGAGCCTTGAGTGGTGCTTCTCAAGGATATTCCGGACTGCGTGGCGGCGTACGAGGCAACCGCTCCAACGGCGGCAGGTCTTCCGGGTGGCGCGACCGCCTGCCACGCCTAACATCGCTCAGGGCCCTACAGTATTGCCCAACAAGCTCTCGCTCCGCCTCAGAGACTGGATACGCTGCGACTTCCTGCTCCCACGCACCCTGACTGGGTCTCGGGCGACCATTCTCCGTACACCAGGTGCACCCACTGGCGTAATGCACATAACAGCAGTCGCGGTCGGCATCATACGCCACGTTGTAAATCTGCCTTGTCAGTGCGCTCACCGAGCGCTCTTCATGGTCCGCTTCGCGTCTTTCGAGGGAGGGGATGAATCTGACGGCGCCTTATATGTTCCAGCTGTTCACGAAAGACGTCCACGCGTTGTCCAGCGAATTCGGTGTCACATTTCGTGTCACCGCGACTGGCTTGCTACGCGTCCGTCGGTGTCTGTGAACAAGCTCCGCATCTCATCGTCGCTCAGCGGCTCGCGCAAGCCGCTGTAGTCGTACACGGCCCATCTTCCCAGCTCCTCCGTGTACGTGTCGAAGTCCCCTGCTGCTGGTACGGGTCTGTCCCTCGCGCCCGCTTACCCACCAGCGTCTGCCATTGATCCAGAAATCCAGTCCTGTTGTTCTCCAGCTCAACTTGCTGAGTGACCGCAACCGTAGCGGCCACGTGCGTATTTTCGAATCTTAGTAGGGGGTGGTGTGACGGGGCTCTGTAACACGGTTGGTATCGTGGGTGCACGAGCTACCGAGGAAAGAAAACGCGGCACAGGCAAAAATGGTGGAAAGCGAAAAGGGCACAGGACCCAAATCACTGGGCCGTACACCTCCATTGGATTAGTGTACCCGAATGACTCACCTCATCTCGAAGAGGATCTTCGAAAGCGATACCGGCAGTGGCTGAAGGAGCAACAAGCGAGGGAATCACGCCGTGGCCAATCAGATCCCAAGACTATCGTTGGCTGTGACGGCCTTGATGCCGTTACGCCCATCAATCAGAGCTTAATTTACCTGCTTCCTTTCACTACAGTGTTTGCTTCGTAACGGGTTGCCTTTAGCCCGCTACACTCTTTGTTTGTTATGGAAGTCGCAAAGTGAACACACTCAGGTACGCCCATGATTAATCGAATTGCCACCACGCCTGCTGTTGACGTCCAAGGCCATGGTTGGATTTTCGTGGCTCCGGAGTCTAACGTCCACCTAGGCCCTATTACAGAATTTTTCGAGTGCAGTACAGTCAAGGTGAGCAATTTGTCACAGCGTCAAACAAAATTATTACTAAACATTTAACGTTTTGTTATAATCAAATGAAAAAATGATTTTACTTTATCATTAATAATACTATTTTTAATTTACATGGCTCTTCTTAAAAATTCGATGTATTCGTCTGCTTCGTCTAGACTTCAATCAGACCGGCATGAATCATCGAGGTCTTCATACCTTTGCACTTCACAGTGCTTGCGATGCTTCGATAGCCAACTCGATCCAGTTTCGCTGTTACGCCTTGCCTACGGGGCGTGCGTAGGGATATTCTTGGTGGGGCGTCGATGGACTCGGATAGTATGCATTCACGACCACCGGCTGCACGTACACGCGTTTCGCCGGATACATGTAGTATTTACGTCGGTATCGGTCTTCTTCAGCACAGGTGAGGCAGCCCGACGCGCAGGCTGCGCCTGCTAGACAGCTTCATAGTTCGTCGTCAGTGGAATCGGGAAGCACATTCGCCGCTGTGCTCGTGCTGCTGTTGTTTCGTTGTCCTTAAGTTGTTTGCATTAGACTGCAAATTCATAAGTGATCTAGCGGCTTGCAAAGATGGCAAAAGGTGTCGGGACTGGCAGTGCCAGTCCCGATAATAACAATGCAATAATATTATCTTAGCCCTTAGAAATAAGATATTGTTCTTCTGAAATCAACAGCATAAGTAAATAATTGCAGCCAAAATAAGCCTTCCATATAAAAAGGTTTTTAAGTAAAAAACACGGTAAAGTTAACGAAAACCAAAATGGGAAAGACCATGTGAAAATAAGTTATGGAAAGTGATATCTGGCATCTTAAAAAAAAAAATTGTATAGTATTGTTTCGAAAATCCAATACAATGATAAATTCGGAACACCTGACTGGCACCTTACATTTCTCTTTTATCTGTGACGTGTGCTGACTTGAGATTTGTAGACAGCTTCAGGCGAAGCTCAAACGTTCCTGTTTGAAGGAAATGAACTGAGAGCGAATTTGTTCTCGATTTAGGTGGCGCCGTCTAACTTACTTTTTGTAAGCAAAAAAAAACGTAGTGACACTCCGGCATGGCGATGTACATGTATTACTGGCCCAGTAATACTGGGGCCGATTGGTACATACAATGTACATTACCGTAAAAGTGTAGTAGTACATTCATTGTACATTACATGAAGTCTAAGTCCGAGGGTGCTCTCATGTTGCTGGTCGTGACAGATGCCTAATGCAGCCACTGAATCATTATAATGTCCGGATTCCTGTCCGACTACTGTGGCGGTTAGTATTAAATACAAGTACCGGTACAAGTAGTCAGCAGTCGCACAGCTACGTTTGGTCATTGACTGCACGGATTATTAATAATCCCCTACGAGTTTCTCTTCGCGGTTTATATATCCTGACAGTCAAGTACGTGTTTCCAATAGAAATTCTACAAGCAAATGCGGAGGATGCGGGCATAATTGCGACCGCGCTGAGCCCGTCAACAATTTCTGCCAGCGCGACACCGTGCGCATGTCTGATCTCTTCAACCCGATCGACTTAAAAAGTTATCTACAGAGGATCTTCTGCGGTGGCCAAAACTCGGACACGTAGGGTGCAATGCCGTCAGGCCCAGGGGTTTTCCAATCTCCGCGCGACGGCACACACCCGGCGCAAGCATAGCGTTAGCATCGGGAAGGTCGCGTATCTAGATTGCGTGGTGGCGTGTCCCGACGACGCCGACGCGAGGTGCAATTCGTCACCTTGTACCAATCGGCAGCGTTGTTTTTGTCACGCGTTAGTGCAATCGACGCGCTGTCGATGAGCTCGATGCCCGCAAACGCAACGCGAAGGAATCGATTGCAGCCATCTGCTTGGCGTGTTGCTACAGTACAAGCCTCGGATTGCTCCTGCATTACTTCATTCAATGCGCGTTGGTGTCATCCAATGCTGCCTGAGCGGGCCCAGCCCTACAACGAGCGACGATGCTGCTGGCCGGGATGTGGAGAGTCCCCACTGGGGACGCCTCGCTTGCCGGAACCGCGGCAAATAGAGCGTTAGTAAGGCAGTTGCCGTGCCCCAACGATTCCTCAGCGCTACAGCCCGCAGCAGATGCACGTAGCCATCGCATTGCGAGGATCGCTTCAATGAAAGCAAGCTTGCGCCAACGGATCCAGCTGCTTTCAAAGACGCCGCGGCGGTGCCAGACGCCTTAGATCTCTTGGTCTCCGCTGCCCTTTGAGTCAAAGTTTGACACGGGGTGCCACATCGTTTTCGAGTGCGAGTGCCATCTCTAGCGCGATTGGCAAATGCCAAGTCAGTCGAGATTGCTTACCGGTACATGTACATGTGTGTCAGCAGTGTTGACAGCTTCAACGGGAACGCAAAAGTCACGAAACTTTTTTGCGAGTTTTGGACGGCAATGGAAAGTCGGTGGCGATCGAGTGCGAGCCGCGCAAGACGCAAACACACCGCAACGAAGTGAACCGGATGCAGGCTGCAACACTTCGACAAAGGGCTCATTCTTGACGTGATGCCGTGCGCACGGTGGCGAAAAAGGCAACTTGCGGCGTGAAAAAGGCAACTTTTGACGCGATATAAGCAAGCCCTACCCACGGTGAATCGATTTTAGCCAATGAGAGGTCGGAAATTCCTCGAAAGGTTATAGAGCGCCTCAAGCCCGCAAGTGAGCTGGGCAGACAATCATTGCCGGTAACGCCTACCAGTGCAGTGCTGCACATGTAAGAGAAATAGTGCTAAACATTATGCTGCTGGTGCTAGCACATGGGCCAAAGTCCCTGCTGTCTTGGTCTGGCAAACAAATTTAAGAAAAAAGGCTCTGTGAAAAACCGTTTCGACGCCAGGCCCTAGCCCTGACCGTAATTCGGCGCCAGCTGGTCGTGCGGACTGTAGTTTTTCTTGTGACCGGATGGGGGAACGCCATAGTGAAATCAAGTGCCAGGTTCCCCAAATCGAGAAAGCACGACCCCGCCTCCACTTCCTCCCTCGCCTCAAACCGCACTCGCTGCGCGCGAAGACTCCTTGCCGCTGTGAAAAGCCTCGCAGGGTCCGTGGGACTGCGCTTTGTGGCTTTGCCGTTTTGATCGGACGACGCCCTACACAACGGAAAGGGGGCGAGAAGCAGCAGACGGAGAGAAGGGCCGCTCGAGGCTTCCATCGAGTAGGACGTGATCGCTGCCACTTAGAGATTAACCATGCCGCAGGTAAGTCGGGCACTACCCGGTGGTTTCCCATCTTTTTATTCAATTCGTGTTGGTGGGAGGGGAACTTTTCTCACTGACAGGGGGTGGCAAAAAACGTTATCTCGCAGAGTCTGGTGTTCGCGGAGCAAGTGCCCACGTACGTGTTCCAAAACGTGAACTTCCAAGCCACCGTCAAGCTGGTGGACAGTCACAAGACCAAAGTCACTGGGTACGTCGGCAACTCCGAGATTCTTAACCGACCGCTTTTTTTTGCATTTCCCGTTCTTGCCAGTGTCTAAACGGCAACGATTTCTTTTTGACAATGCTGCAGTGTCCGCAAACCTCTGCAAGTGTCTTTGCGCTTCCATGACACTTACGATCTTGTGGAGGACCAAGATGCCGTGCTGCGAGTGACAGCAGAGGCCCACATCGACCCTAACACGGGACTGGCACTGCTCTCGATGAGTCTTCACACTCTCACGGCGACTTGCGATGGACGCAACTTCTGTCTAGAAGTGCGCAGCGGCGATGCAGACATCGAGTCGGTCTTCTCATCGCCTGTAAATGTCGTCAAGGAGAAACTACAAGTGGTGACGCAACCACCCGACGTCTGGTTCAAAGACGAGGGAGGTCGGGAGAAGTGCATGACAGTAGCTCTGAACCTGGTACCAGCTCCTGGAGCTTATCTGGAAGACCGAGTGGTGCCACTGGACGTGAAGCTACTGTACGAGTCGGGCAACACGGTGCTAAACCAGAGCATCCTGAGACTGTTCCCGGACATGAGACCCAATATGACCCACGGCCGCGCTACCGTTTCCTTCCGAATTGACGACGTGTCAAAGAACCACCAGGGACAATCGTTCATGTTGGAGATTGGACCAGAGCAGCAGGACGGCAGCTCCATGTTCCAGGACATCGCGCCCACACGTACGTCGGTCATTGCCATTCGATCCAAGCGTAACAAGCGGAAACTCAATGCGCAAGCGGCGGCGGCAGCGGCTGTTGCAGCCTCAGGAGCTTACGGTATGCGTGCTTCCCCTCGAAGTGTTGCAGGCACCCCTCGCACGCCTTACATGAACATGGGCGGAACGCAGAGCTCGCCTCAATCAGTGGGCCCCAACGGGATGATGATCGAACCGCATCCGCAACGCGCTCGCAAGTACTTGGCAACTAGCAACGCCATGGGATACAACGGCATGATGCAACAGCCGCAACAGCCGATGGGTTCCATGTCCTGGAGCAGCCACTTAATGCAGCCTACTGCCAGTTCTGCATCCCCCCCCATGCAGGCCCAAACGCCTCAGAGCCAACAAGCCCCAGCCCAGACTCCAGGTTCTGGAGCGGCAAACAGTCCTGGAGCGGTGGAGTGGGCTCTTGGGGGCTTTGAGATCCACCCAGACGGCTCCATGAACACAGCTCGACCGATCTATCGCTGTCCTCAGTGTCGGCGTCTGAACGATGTGGACATGCTGGCAGCTGGCCCCGCTGTCTCTCACAGTCCGCAGTGCGTCTTCTCGCCCAGCGGTGGCAATGGCAACATGATGTACCGTTCTCAAATGGAAGGAACGCCCATGAATCAACAGCAAATGCAGCAACAGCGTGGGTATGCACCATACCAGCAGATGGCCCAGCAGAGTATGGGTATGAGTGCACCTCCGACCTCCACTACGACCAACAGCTACGGCAGCAGCGCGATGGTCGATTCTTCGTCACTGAACGTGCAGCAGAACACGGTAAACATCACGTCAAAGCCCGAAGACGTATCACCAAAGACACTCGCCACTTATGCAGCTTCGTCCACACAGCGACCGTCCATGACGATTTTTCCTTACATGAACAAGGTAACAACCGAAGCAGGATTGCCAGCAAGCAACGGACAGGAGCAGCCATCCAGTGGCAACTTGTTCGAGAGCAATGCTTTTCACAACCAGATGGAGATGATTGGCAACGGAACAGAGAAATTGTTCATGAACAAGAACACCGCGGTGGAAGACGATCCCGCGCTGGACCCGCAACAGCAACAACCTCAGAATTATCAGCAGGATGCAGGCGCAAACTTTGGCGGTGTCATCGGGACGTCTCTCTTCAATGAGATGACTAGCATGGGCATCAACCTGGACCAGAGCGAACCTCAGCTGCTAGGCGAGTTTGGAGGGATCCAAGGTAACAACACCCAGACTCCCAATGATGAAGATCAAGTGTTCTACATCCTGGCGCAGATGTACACGGATGCGCAGGAGCGGAAACTCGGTCTGCCTGCCTTTGATCAGTTCCAACGCATGGTACGTCGAGTGTGGCGATGCTGCAAGTAGAAAATGTTTTTTGATGCTAATGATATTGCTGTTGCTATTGTTTGATTTCAGCTTGGATTCTACAGCGAAGCTCAAGATGACGTTCAGACTCAGGTGGTTTTCCATCCACTGCGAGATGTCTGTTTGTCGAACGAGGAGCGAGAGAAGATCACGACTCAGTTTGTGGATGAGCTCGGACGAGACTCACAGGCGGTGCATTCCCTCCCCAAGTATCAGCACAACCTCATCATGTTGCGCGAGGACGCTCTGATGTTCTACTGGAGCCAGTCGCTCGTATGAGTTAGATGGCGCTGGGATAAAGGGAGAATAGAGCCTCGGCATACCAGATCGCAGGCAACCGTTGTGTTGTAAGGCCAGATACAAAGTCCTGTAGCAGTCGGTAGTAAACGCGCTGGTCGTGTATTAGTGCGTGAGATGCATGTAAGTTACGTGGGTAATCGTTAATTCAGTCAGAAGTCGTGCAAGTTCAAGTTCTATCCATAGTATCCACATCAAGCATTGACAATTAAATCTATTGGTGTTGCCACTTACGCAGTTTCAGTTCCTCGCACTTCCAACCGATAAATCACAACGCGACCGTAGAAGTCGGTGCTGCGTTGGAAATTGAGTGCAATCGCCTCCACCTGTTGCAGTTTGCAAGGAAACTCTTGCAAGTCGTTCGAGTCTTCCGGGTCCACATCCGCATCCACTTCTTCCCATTGCACACTGCCTCCCGCCTTTTTCACGTGCACCTGAACGTCCTGACCCACGAAACCTCCTTGGAACATGATGCGCAACGTGGAAATGTCCACGACGCGGTTGAAAAGTAACTGTACTTGTTGCGGACTGCCCTGCGCTGAGTTCCAGCAAGTTGACAGGTCCGTCGAAAGCAAATTGTGGGCACCATATAGTTTCTTGTTGCGGTCTAATGTAGACGACGCGCGGCACGTGGTGCGGGCGTCGTCACTCAAGGAGTCCATTGCAAAACCGTTTGCTTTTTTTTGCTTCTTTTGCTTGTCAAAAGTGCAAAACCTATCGAATGTCACTTGAAACCCTGTGTAATAGACTATTTTGCGTGGTCAACACCATTCATTCGGTCCAGACGTTCTCGAATCCTGCCGCGTCAGTAACGAAGCTTCTGCAAAAGAGATCACTTCACGTTAGACAAGATCATGTCGGAGACTAAAGCTCTGTGGGCGCCAGTGAAGTGGGCGCAGCGCAAGGATGCGCTATACGTGACCGTGGACCTTCCGGATGTCAAGGACGAGAAGGTCACGCTTAGCAGCAAGAACCTCACCTTCAAGTGCGTCGAGATCTCTCATTTTTGCTGTGTGGCAAATAATTGCTTCCGTTGTGTTCTAACCCGTTGTGACACTATTTTCCACTTGTTATATTTTATTCATCAGGGGCGAAAGTAACGGGCAGTTGTACGAGGTGACGCTGGACTTCTTCAAGGAGGTGGACGTGGAGTCCAAGGACAGTATCTGGGCCAAGACGGACCGTAACTTACACTTCCACATTGTCAAGAAGAACCAGGACGAGGAGTTCTGGCCGCGTCTGCTAGCTGATAAGCACCTGGAGAAGACTAACGTCAAGGTGGACTGGAGCAAGTTCGTGGACGAGGATGAGGACGAAGAGCAGGGCGGCTTCGACATGAGCGCACTGAATGGCGGCGGTGGCTTTGACATCAACCAGATGATGGCGGCGCAGAACGCGGCTGGTATGATGGACGACGGCAGCGACAGCGATGACGAAGACATGCCCGACCTCGACCCCAACGACAAGTAGAGAGGAAGGAGATACTTCGAAGTAGTTCAAGGGGAGGATTTGAAATTTCCCCCTTCTTGCGTAAGTGGTAAAGATGCCGTCCTCTTGCTACTAACTCGCTTGTGTTGTATTTTTTCGCCTTGTGTGGGGTAACATTGTCAATTCTTACTGTAAAATAGTACTACGTAGTAGTATATATCGTTAGCAGAACAAAATTCTTTCTGCTAGCACACTAAATGTTAAAAGGATTGGAGGGAAACAGCAATAAGCACTCGTAAAGTGACGGGATAGTTGCCTCGCTTACGCAGCCAAGCAGAACACGCCTTTGTCAGCTGGGTGTTTCCGAAAGCGGACGTTGGAGAAAAGGATCTTGCGCACTGAGGATTTCCAAACGGGGGACTTGCGTTGATCACTGCAAATTACCACAGTTGCAAAGCCAGGGGTTAGACCCACGTGTTCGTCATCGACGCGATGCATTAGACATACTTGTACCTTTCCAGCTTCCAGTTGAGTTGGCTCTGGTACTCGGTCTCCACGAAGTCACAGATCTCCTTGAAAGAACCCTAGAGCGAGAGCAGCAAATGGTCGAGCGTCAGTCAGCGCGACCATTGAAATGGCTACATGATCGTTTCCATGTCAAGTTTGCCACGTACTTTTCCATTAGGCAAAACAGTCAGCGCATGCGAAATCATATCACCGTACGTGACGCTGGCGACGGGTTTTCGATATTCTGAACCAGAAACAGCCAAAAAATGAGCAACTACGGTTAACTAGAGTTTATCATTGTAGCACTTACGATTCTCTGGGATATCTGCGGAGTCATTCTCCTGACAAGCTGGACAGTACCATGTCTCGGGTGGGTTTTCGAGCGGATCAAGGTCCACACAGCCCATGTGGTACCAGTTCGACCGATCAAGGCACCGTTTGTTGTCGCATGCAATCATGTTACCGAAGCTGGCGCCCTTGCAAATGCAGTACAGTCGTCCTTTTCGTTTCTTTTTCTTCTGCACAACTCCCGCGTCCCCACTATCTGCCCTTCCACGACCATTTCCACCACGAGATTTCTTGTCGTCGTCTGCTGACCGCCGCATTTTGACTTCAAGCGGACGCATCTCATCACGAAGCCCCTGCTCGTCGAAGTCGTACAGATGATCCACATCATCTTCGGCCAACACGGCTTCATCATCTTCAGTGCTGTGGTATTTCCCCTGTCGCCTCTGATTTTCTTTATCATCGTCGTCGTCATAGTTCTGCTTTTTGCGCTTCAATCGGTGAAAAGGTCGTGCTCGTAGCAACTCTGCTGCCTCCACAGTGTCGTTTGACCCCGTAAGCTGCAAATTGACACAGAATAACAATTGCATGAGCTTCAATTGTCTGCATTTGCAGAACGATTTTGCCACGTACATAAGAGACGAATGATGTAATGCTGGAGCTTTCGTCCGCCTGCTTGCATTCCTCGTTGAAGTGTCTGCAAATTAATGTACAAGAGGGCAAAAAGACGCACGCTTACAATTGGAACAACGGCAACTTGGGGCTACTGCGCACTTCAAAGGCAACGCACCTAGCAACAGCAACTGCTAGCTGCTCCTTCGAGCTACCTGGCGTCTCCGGGATGCCATGAAATACCATGTATCGCCGCAATGCGTTGGGCTTTCAGCAATCCGACGCGTAGCACGCAGTTATACCATTGCAAAAGTTGCAACAACATCGTTAGAGTCTACTTCGTGCCATTGTAGCACTGTTTTCCGTCGCAAAGAGAGTTGAGGGCTGCGCAACTTCAATTTGCTTCTGCGTACCCGCAATTGAGTGAAGTCCACCGCTATATTCACAGGATAATGACTGCGCTCACCAGGCAATACGCACGGAGACGGAAGTCTCGAATTACTGCTGCTTGTATGCGCGGCATGCGTTGGCAGCGGATCCGCCATGATGTTTCTCGTCTTCGAGGCGAAGTTGATTCTTTTTTGTTTCCAACCTGAGTTTCAGCCAATCCCAGACCTTTTTCGCATTTCGCATGCAGTCCCTCCTCAGTTTCTTGCACATCAAACGCTGCGAGTCAACAGCAACACCGTCAGCAAGTTTAACTAACTAGCTACATGTATTAATAGCCTTACCTCGGTTGCGTCCCGCGTGTAGGAACAAGCAGTTGGCGATACTAAAGATGATCACGTTAGCCAGTTCCGCTGCAGATTGACAAGACCGCCCAACTGCGGCGTCCAATGAGTGCACTACGTTGCAGCAAAAAAAACGGTGGTGGCAACAATTGTGAAGCGACTTGCAGTTCATACCTAACGAGTCTCCAATTCAAACATACCCTAGTTGCATTCCTCCTCCAATTACCTTAAGATGCGAGACGTGTGCGTACGTGTCGTAAGTGTAGCTCCTTAAAACTCGAAGCTTTCCATAGGGCCGGCAGGCGGCGCTGCCGGCTTCTTGACAGGCGCCCGTCGCACTACTTCAATCTCGCGTGGCGCCACTTCCACCTCACGAGGAGCCTCACGAACATTCACTACCCGCGTCTGTTGCTCCTGCTTGAGAGCAGCTTCACGTCGTCGTTGGTGTTCTTGCTGCTGCTTCTGGATCATCTCTCGCTTCACGTCACCAACAAGGGACGAGCGCGGCGCAGTAGCTGGAGCCTGACCCGCTGACAAACGCTCCCCATTCGACGCGCCACTGTCCACCGGAGCCATTGGCGAACTTTCCGGCTCGTGGTCGCTGTCGTCCGAGTCGTCGTCCACGCTAAAGTGCGAGTTCATCTGTTGCGTCATACGAAATGCGAGGTCTTCCTGCTCCTGCTCCTGCTCCTGCTGCATCTGCAGTTTGACCGCCTTCTCACGCTCTGCACGCTGACGTGCATGTTCCTCACGCTTCTGACGGCGCTGTAGTTCAAGCAAATCCTCGCCTTGCTGGGGTTTGAGCTTCTCTTGCATTGCCAATTCATCTGCCAATTGTTTGTTGCGAATTATTTCTTGCTCCTCTTCGTGTTGAATACGCGCAGCTTCCTCCGCCTCACGCGCACGCTGCAACTCCATTGCCTGCCGCATCTCGATCTCCTGTTGCATCTGCGACTCGCGCTCCTTTTGTGCCTGTTTCTCGTGCTCTTCCTGAAGTTGCAACTTTTCCACAGCCGCCAGGGCAGCAGCCTGAGCCGCCTCGTCTTGCTCTAGTTGCTGCTGAGCTGCCAATTGTCTGCGCATCTCGGCGTCCTGTTCGGCCTCACGTTGCTCTTCCAGCTGCTGCATTTTCATACTTTCCGCTTGTGCAGCGAGCAGTTCCTTTTCTTCCACCGTCGCTCGCATTTCCGCGCCCGTGCTGTGGCGCTGGTTGACTCCGCGTCGGGGCACCGAGAAGTTCTGAAAGTCCCGGATGTTCGGGTTGCTATTGACATTGCTTCCAGCCACGCTGCTGTTGGAGGAAGGCGCTGGCATAGACGCACGCTGCATAGGCGGCTGGCCCGAGTTGATGCGGAAGGCCATGACAAGCTTGTCCACCCAGTCATTCATCTCCATCTCCGTCCCTGCGGCCACAAGCAGGCGGCGTTCGGGTGCGTTGATGGCAATACGCCAAATCGTAGAGGCCGAGCTGCCGGTTTTCATGCTGTCGGCAGGCATAACCTCTAGCACACCCTCGTCACAGCCCTGCAGACTCAGCTCGCCCTTGAGCTCACCGTCCTCGAACGTGAAATACTGCAGACGCGATGGTGTCAGCACGAAGTAGCGCGGCTTCCAGTTCTTGCGACCAAACGGGCCCGTACCGGAGCCCTTCTTGAACAGCACGCCCGTGCGCAGGATCTGTCCGTCGCTCATGGCGTCGAGGTCTCTGTGAGCGATGGAGTCGATATCCGATTCTGAAGCAAAGAGAAGAAAGAGTGGGTAAAATTTCGCTAAGTGCGAGTTCGGTATACTGCTTCGTGACGAATGGAATTGGCGAATTTGCAAAAGCGACAAATTGTATTTGCCAGATGGATCAGTAGGTTTGCGAGTTTTTGCTTGCTTGGTGGCTGTGCGTACCCAATTGACACCACAAGAGTGGACAGCACTTGCCACTGCTCGTAGTAATGAACACGAAAGAGATATTATAAACATAGAGGCGGAATTTTTAGTTGTTGGATTTTGCCGCCTGGTCCAACAATGGACATGATGTACCTTTCTGGTTGCTTAAGTTTCAGAAGTTTACCCGACGCCATTATTGAATCTGTAGCATTTTGCGTCGTCTTGTGCGACGCTCGATGCCTCCGGTGTCTACAGTCTCTCGCTACGGCTATTCGAACGAAGAAAATCCAACGCCTTTGTCCCCACGCAGAAGAAGACCTGCACGCGGTTGCCTTTATTGCTAGCGATCTTACCCTCGCATTTGATTTGCTCGACAAACACTTGTTTTTGAATTTGTTAATTGGTTTTGCTCTACGTAGCTGCATAGATCTTGAATACCAGTAGTGCTTCGGGCTCTATCGCCACTCAGTCATTCGTTTCATGGCACCACACTTGTTGCAGACAGGTGCGTGTTTGGAGTTCATGTTACCGCAACCGGCCTTGCTACACTCCCACTTGTCCGACGTCGAGATCGCCGTCGCAGACACGGGGACTGGGAGACCTCGAGCATGCACCGTACCCACAGGCTGCTTAACCGCTTCCTGCCTCTGGAGCTGCTCGAAGAAACTCCTTGCGTCAACCGATGCCGTGTCCGTCGGCTGTACCGGTATGACCTTTTCATCATCTTTATTTTCCTCCGCCGTAGCAGTTTCTTCTAGTTCCTTCTCCTGGTTTTCCCTGTGTTTGTTCTTGTTGTGGCGCTTCTTTTTCTCTTTCTTCGCTCTTTTTAAGTGTTTCCTGTGCTTCTTGTGATGTCTCTCTTCGCTCCCAGAGCGAGATGACGCGAAGGTGGGGCTGCGACTCCGAGAGCGGCTTCTCCTGCGTCCGTCGACGGGGCTTCGGCTTCTCTTACTGCGTCTACTCAGGCGTCGGCCATGGCTGCGGCTGCGACTCGGCGATCGATGACGGCGCCTTGGTCGGTCGCGCGGCACGCTGCGGCTTCGACTTCGGCTCATCGACAAACTCAAATGTTTGTCGAAAATTGTACCGTTACTGTCCTTCCAAAACTGCCCCCAACCATGAAAATCCACAGGTTTTGCCCATCAACGTGTGCGTGAATAACCGGTCGCTGTCCACATGAACTTAGGGAATGACAACGCGATGCTCGTATGAACATTCAACGCTTCGGTTTGCATGTATAAAGTGTCGGTTGTCTATTGCTTCAATAGTAAGTTAAAGTCTATCACTTACAGCCACTTCCAGTCAGGGCTCTCACGCGTGAGGCCGTCTACATAGTCGTCAAACGACACGCCCGCAGCCTTACTCAGTTTGCTGAGCTTACGGATCTGCTGTTTGCTGAGCGGACGGAGCGTCTTGGGGTTCGTCAGCTTCGTGCGCTTCATGGACCCGTTGATGTTGCTTCCCACCTTCTTTTCCTCCTCGGGCTCTTCCTCGACCACCTTACGGCCACCACCAGCACGGTACTCCTTCTCCTGCGCTTCACCAATGATAGTCAAGCGACCAGACTCCACCAGCCACTTCTCCGTGCACAGCGAGTTGTAGAACTCTTCACTGTGGGAAATCATGATCACACCGCCAGCATATTGACGAATTCCGTCGGCCAGGGCACCCAGCGCAGCGCGATCCAAGTAATTCGTCGGCTCGTCGAGCACCAGCAAGTGCGGGCGGTTCCACATGGCAGCAGCGATAACGAGCTTCACCTTCTGACCTCCCGACAGTCCACGGATCTTGCCGTGGGTACCGAACTCGGCCGGCAGCGCGAAGTCGTCCAGGTGACGCTGGATCTCCTTGGTCGTAAGCGGACGCAGGTCCAGTCCACCGGCCAGCGAGGCTTGGCGGATGTCCTCGGCCTCAGCAAGAGCACCCAGACCCATTTCCTGCAGCTGTTCCAGAGTGTAGCGCTTGTTGTGACGCTCAGTCATGCCCACAAGCTTACACTCGTACTCGAGCGTGCCACGCTTGCCCTTGGTACGCGACACGATCTTCTCCACTTGGCCTTGTTTCTTCCCCACGAGGTTCTTTTCCTCCTCTGTCTGCTTCAGATTGACGTGGTCGCCAAGCTCGCGGTCGATGCCATTCTCGCCACCGAAACGCCACTGGAAGTACTCGACTGGACTGCTCTCGAGATGTTTCTCGACGTGATGGAACGAGTGCTGCGCCACGTACGCCACACGCACTGCGTGGTGCTTCCAGAAGGTGCCAGTGTCGGGCGACGTCTCCTGCACAATCATCTTGATCAACGTCGATTTACCAGCTCCATTGACACCGATCACGGCGACACGCGAGGCCAGACAGAGCTTCACAGACACATCGTTCAACTGGGGAATGGAGGCTCCAGGGTACGTGTACGTAGCGTTCTCCAGAGTCAAGATACGACGCGTCATCGAGTTGATTCCCTCCAGACGACCAGGCTCCGGCAGGTTAAAGATCATGTCCGACGACTTGAGTTCGTAGTAGTGCTTGGCTTCTGGGTGGATGTCCACGAACTTGGACAGCGTCATCGGGTACAGCACCAGCTTCTTCGACTCGTAGTGGAAGATGTCCGTGCACACGTTGTCCAGGAAGCCAGTGTCGTGGGAAACCAGCAACACCGTCATCGTCTCCAGAGAGTTGAGGTAGTCCACCAGCCACTGCACAGCGTGTACGTCCAGGTGATTCGTGGGCTCATCCAGCAGCAGAACATCGGCGTTGTACAGCATCGCGCGGGCCAGTGCGAGTTTCATGCGCCAACCACCGGAAAGCGCATCAATGTCGCCGTCCAGCATCTTCTGCGTGAATCCAATGTCCGTCAGAGTCTTCTCGACAGCCTCACGAGTCTGGTGGGCCAGCTCTGGGGCCTTGCACATAGATTCAAGCAGGCTTCCTTGGCTCTCCACAATGTCCTCGTGTTGCACGTACACCGAGCGCAGAGTCTCCGGCAGACCTTCAATGGCACCCGAAGCCAGGTTGCGCATCAGTGTCGTCTTACCCACGCCATTCTTACCGATGAGACCGTAGCGATGACCGCGAGTCAGACGCAGACGCGCGTTACGCAGCAGAATCTTACCACCGTAAGCCAGCGAGAAGTCCAGATCACACACGTCGTTCGGGTCCGTCGACTTCTCGCGCTCCTCGCCCAGACCGCCGCCAGCAGCACGCAGCGCGTCGCAAACATGCTCAGCATCCGAGTCGTGCATGTGTGGCTGCAAGTAGGGCATCACCACGGAGCGCCACTCCGACCCGCGATTTTGAGTGGCGAGTTCTGTGCACACGTCAGTGACGTATTGCAGCGAAAAGTCGTTAAGACCAGGGTGCGTCGAACGGTCGAGTGTCTCCGTGAACGCAGTGAGAATGTCAGCCTCCAGCTTCTTACGGATCTCAATGAGATCTTCCTCCATTGCCTCACCATCGCCGGCAGCGTGGACAAGATGAGAGCGAGCTTCCTTGGCGGCTTCCACGACCTCCTCGTCGATCAAACGGTCGATTGCTGTATCAAGCTGAGGCAGCAGCAAGGGCACGAACTGCATCACGTCTGACGGACGCACCACGAGACGACACATGCTGTCGATAATCTTCGAGGCTTTACGCTTGAGCGAGGAGCTGTTGATACTTGTGTCACGCAGAGCCTTGTGCAGCAGTGGGGCGATCAGAGAGAGCGTGGGGGCATCCACATTAGCAACGAAAGTGGTCGCGAGAAGACTGTCGATAGCCTTCATGGTCTCTTCCGGACGAGCAATGACGCCCACAAGGGTGGGGACAAGCGGCACGACATCGTCGTTGCTGATCTTGGAGCACACAGCGATCAGAGCGTCGATGGAGGCGGCCTGAACCTGTTTCTTCGTGTCCCACACGTACTCGGTAACGATGGGCATGATCTCCGGCAGCCAGCCAGAAACCTCCTCACTAGCAGTCTCACTCAGCTCCTTCAGCAGGTTCAGAGCTGCGACCTTGCTCTGCCAGTAACGCAGCTCTAAAGCCTTGTAAATCTGCTTGAGAACTGTGTGAATGGCCAGTGGATTCACCTTCTGCGCGAGTGTATTGGCCAGCGTAGCAGCGACGTTCTTAACGACGTGTTCAGAGTCAGCGTGGCGCTGCATGATAACAGTCAGTTGCTCCACCACCACAGGCTCCATTACGGTTGACAATTCCTCGCTCTTGCACAGAGCGACAAACGACAGCAGAGCACCCTCGCGTGCTGAAGTGGGTTTAGCCACAAGGAATTTCTTCAGCTCGTCCAGAACGTGGATGCCGGCGGGACTGGCAACTCCCACGACCTCCAGGGCCACCACAATGTCAACGGCAGCGGCGTGGCGCTCGCCCTTGGAGGAGAACGCGGCGACCAGACGCGACAGGATGTCGTTAAGCTGCGTCTTTACAGCCTCGACGTCCTCGAGCGCCTTGAGAGCCTCACGCTGCTCCTCGGACGCGAGCTGGCGGAACTCGTCGCTGTCGTCTGCCGAAGATGCTGAAGTCTCAGACGGAGGCGGCGACGGCTTCTTGTGTACGGGTGGCACGGCCACGTTGAGACCCGAGCCTCTGGGCGCTACGAACTGCAGGGACGACGGCGCCTGGTTCTGCTGTTCCAGCACGGACGGCTTGCTCTGCGACATCGCGGCCACCAGCATAGCGTCGGCCGCGGCCTTGCGTGCGCGTTGTCCCTTGCCCATGGTGATATCTGCAAAATTTATGGGTGTGAGGATTGCGAGAGTTCGGTGGTGGAGACGGCCAATGCTGGAATGAAGTCACAGCAGCCAGCCAAATCTAAAGTTTGCCGCCTGTTTTGTAACGGTCGCTGCCGACGTCACTGTTAAAGACAAAAAAGACAAAAGTTGGTATCCTTTTTACTACATGTCACACACGAAGAGATAAGAATACACTGCTATTAATAAGCTACTGTCGACAAAGACTTTTCCTGGAATTTTGTTGTGCACGTTTTGTCAATTGACAAAGTTTGATATCGTCCTCTGGTTTTTAACAAAGCGCCACCAACCAATCAGCGGCGATCGCGCCATCGAAGAGCTGACTTGATTTATCTAAGGAGGAACTTCTTTCTTTCCTTTTCAGTGAGCTGCATCGGCTATTCTTTAATAGCCTAATAGTGCGAACTAAAGGAGTCACTGCGACAAGCGGGGAGCCACGACCAACCACCGGAGCCTGCAAGGAAACGGCGTTGAAATCCTAGCTTTGGAAATTCCAGACATCTTGATCACAATAACTCTTTAAATAGGAAGTTGATCCTCTCTCTCTTTTCAGTGAGGTACATTAGTGTAACGGGGTGCGTAGCCCCAAGTGTACCCCTAGTGAGACACGTCATACTTCGGGATTTCTGGTACATGGTACCATGGTCGTCCGAGGGCCAACCATTGGCTGATGACACTAGCCGAGTGCCGCCGCTACGCGGCGGGTAAGAATGAATGTCGCTCCTTGAGTTTTGCCTCCGTTCCGCTCGCCACGGACTCGCTTCACTACTCGCACGGTAGGCTGGCAGATTGTGGCTCAGGCGGGCCCAAAGGCCCGCAGGGTTGCAGAAGGTGCCGATTTGGGCCGCCTCGCTGCGCTCGAAAGGTTTTAGGCCAATCGGGGCCACCTTCGCTGCGCTCGGCAGCCAGTAGAAATATTTAAATTATATTATCCAATGATTTGTCCGGAAAAGCGTGACCGGCACGACAATTTAGTGTGACGGACAGACAGGTTGCTGCAGTAGATGTTTAAAACTAGCCGTTCGCCGCCGCTACGCGGCGGAGTGGCATGGTTTGTTGGAGATGAGGTGGCCGCAAATATAGTGCTTCTTGGTGTCGCGTGCTTTGTGGGCGTCGTTCAACCTAGTACGTCGTTGTTTCGTGTAGTCAACCACTTAACTATCCGTAATCTCATGTGGCTTTGGACAATATCGTGGTTTGGTACGTTTCCGTTACTCCGTACTACAGGTTGAATGTCGTGTTCTTCAATGGGCTGTGCTCTTCCGTGTTCTACTTGGTTTCGTGGCTCTCTGTTCACCCGTGGTCCACGCTGTTTGTGGATATGCGCTCTCTTTTGAGCTTATGCACTTTAGTACAGCCTCTTTCGTGGCTCCTAGCTATTCTCTGTTCTCAAACGTTTACGCGGGCTGTACCGCTTTCGTGATACATAGGCATTCGTGGCCGTTGGCCTCCCATCACCGGTACTCTAACCAAAGGGTGCTATTCCGTGCTTTGGTGCCTCCATGCAGTCGTGTGGCTCCGTCGCCCGTGCATCGTGATCTCCTGATGAAGTGTCATCGACCGCGGTATCACGCTATCGTGCAATCACGGTGTCGTAATGCTGTCTATGGTATTGTGCTACGCAGTGTATCTACGTTGTCCGTGTTATCGTGTTCTACTATGGCATCGTGCTCCACAGTGTTCAGTCGTGGTCTCCCCAAGCGCCCACCTCCCCGTTTATTTCGTGGCTGGAGACGCCGTCCGTGCAATCTAGTTCTAATGTAGTACTGTCCTCCGTGGCTCGGTAAGCTCAGGTTAAACACTGGTATCGTTCTCCGCGGCGCTGTGATTTTCCGTGTATAGCTCCGCGACTGCGTTCTCCCATGGCTTAGTGGCACAGTCCATGCTATCGTGCTAACTTGTAGTGTCGCGGTTGGTCTTTCGTCAATGCAATCGCTAGTTACCGTAGTATCGTGCTGTGATACTCGGTGAGCTCCGGCTCTAACCTTATATCGTGTCCCAATACCCGGTGATATCCCGCTTATGGTCTCCCGCGGGCTCATGTTTGGTCTGCTGACTGTGCTCCGTGTTCAACCGTGGTGCTATGGGAGAATTTCTGTCCGTGCACTATTACCGTTACGTGTTCTACCGTGGCTTCGAGCGTGCGTGCTCTTTCGTAACCCGTGCTTTTCAGCATGCTGGGGTGTCTATGGATTTAGTTCCCTTCTGTGGCCCGTACGCTCCCGTCATATTCTTGTCGTTCTGTCATTTTCATGGCTGTGTGCTCTTCCGTCTTTCACGCTACTCAACAACTTCGAGGTTTGCATCGGCTAAGTCTTCAGCCATCGTCCGTTGCCTTCCGTGCTTCGTGTTGCTCTTCTAACCCATCGTCTACATAGTGTGGGTTGATGTTCCTTCGTGCTTCGTGCTCTTGCTTAGTCACGTGCCTCCGCGTTAACTTAAACAAATAGCTGTTCCCATTTTGTTTGATGTACGCTACATATATTGTTGGAAAGTTCGCACAATATCTGAAGGTCGCACACTACGCGCGCGAAGATGACACTTTTTCCCGGAGGCAGTGTGGGGTGCAGGGCACGATAATTTTCTTTAAGTATTCACATTTTTTTAAATAGTAATAGAATTGTGATTTATTATCGAACGCTGATATAATAACTATGTGTACTACTACTACAAATAGCTGCAAGGAAAAATATGAAATGTCTTGATAATAGTACTACTCAAAACATATTGTAAGTTTGATTTTTAGAAAAGTACTATGAAGCCTAAATTATCATTCTATATCCAATAGCTACTAAAGTTTCTATTGAGGCATAAATATAAGTCAGCAGGACCTACAAAAATTTTCAACCGCTCCTACGACGATATTGTATGTGTGTGCACGTCGGCGCCTCCTATTAATGCTAATTAACGCGTGCACAGGCAGCGCCCTTTGCGTGGCCTTGCGAGCCGCAGCTGAAAATGAGAGCAAAATGAAATTTGAGCGGTGCATTTAAGTACGATGTGTAGACCATATACAGTGTGTACACCACATAATGCGATTTTAGCCAATTGGAGCCGCCTTCGCTGCGCTCGGCAGCCAGTAGAACGCCCGCATTTGCGTTACATTTTAGAACCCTACCCTCGGACGGACAGACGGACACCATACTCCACTAGGGGGGTAAGATTGTTTTTCGACAAGTGAGTTTGTAAATTTAACTCAAGCTTAGCCTACCTTTAGATATATTGTGACGGGGTCACACAGCCTTGCGCTAGAGGAAGTTATCTTCCGAGAGTATACAAACTCTCAGTGAGCGGCAGTTCACAGGTCCCCTTTTTAATTAAAGAGAGCGAAGTGACCTAAATAAGGTAGATTGTTGTGACGGGGTCACACAGCACCTTGCGCTAGAGGAAGTTATCTTTCGAGAGTATACAAACTCTCAGTGAACGGCAGTTCACAGGTCCCCTCTTTAATTAAAGAGAGCGAAGTGACCTAAATAAGGTAGATTGTAAACTGAGTATATTTATAGGTAGGTTAAGTTTGAGGTTAATACAAACTATCAGTTACCTATAGAAATGCAATGTCATTTAACCAATGGTTGGTTTTGAATGACCTTGGTACCTTGTACCAAATATCCCGGAGTATGACATGTCATACTCCTGAAGTATGAAGTGTCACACTTCATGTAACCAGGGTACACTTAGTGCTACGTACCCCGTTACATCCTCCCCCACTTAGGTTCGGTTTACCGACCAATCAGAATGAAGAGATGTTCGTCACAAACTCTCATTCTCAAAGTCGAAAACCATCGACTCGGCCGCGCGAGCGCGGCGGAGGCTCACTTTACAGTTAGAGCCTCGAGCAGCAACCTGTGCGCTCTTCGTCAAGGTCTCCACTTCGACCGTTAACATGCCTCGTGGCACTGCTAAGAGCGGTGCTAAGACACGCTCCAAGGCTGCAGCCGGTAAGGCGCAGGCCAAGAGCACTAAGCCTCACGGCAAAGGCTCTGCACTTAAGGAGGCTACTCAGGTGGCCTCCGAGGCGATCGGATCCTCGGGTGACGCGGCTGCGGACAAGCGCGCAAGCAGGCGCCGCAGTCCGTCGCCCTCGTCTTCAGACAAACGTCCGAACCCTCGGTTCGTAGAACGTGAGTTCAACTCGGGCAGTGAGGACGATGCCGAGTCCGAGAGCACTCATGATGCTCCTGCGGGCTCTGTGGGAGGGCACAGCCCAGTGCCCAGTGAGCACAAAGAAGACAGCGTGCAGTCGTCCGCTAGTGATCACGGTGATCACAGTCCCAGGACCTCTGTGCGCTCTGAGAGTCCGGCCGTTAAGGCTAAGGGCACTCCCAAAGCCGGTGGCGATGAGGAAGATAATCCTCGCAAACGTCTCTCGCTTGCCGAGGGTCTTGCGCGCGCTAAGGCCTCTAAAGCCGAAGGCGCCAAGCCCTCAAAGAAGCGTACCGCCTCTAAGTCTCCACTCCGCGAGGAGAAGGAGACTCGACGCTCCTATCAGAGTCTCTTCGGCTCCTCGGATGAAGAGGAGGAGAAGGAGGAAGAAGAGGAAGAGGAGGGTGCCATTGTTGAGCCCCGGGAGGTCTCGAATGACCTCGACCAGCAGCAGGAGAAGTTCCAAGCTGCCCAGCGTGTGCGTGGGGGTTCGGTGGCGGCACCCGTCAGCCAGGGAGCTGCCATCAACTCAAGAGGGTATTGGCCTCCCGAGGAGAGCTCTGGGGCTGACCTCTTCTTAGAGCTTCTCGTCGCTCCTCGTGGCCTTGTGGGCGGCCACACTTCTAGGGGCATCTATGAACGAGCCCTTGTTCAGAAGGAACAGTTGTTCGTCGACAACGTGGAGGCTGCTCGGTGTGTGCTTCTCGCGCCACACCGCATTCCCCTTAAGGACTTCACGACTTGTCGTAAGAAGCCCGAGACCCGGGGTGGTCTCTATCCTGTTTGGGGATACCCCTGGGTTATGCCCGAGAACTGTCCCACATGGAGTTCTTGTGAGGACATGTTCTGGGCGTGGGTGGAGACTCTCAAGT